TCTTTCAGAACATTTTTTAATCCTTGCCAACAAATGTGCGACAAGATCACAATTATAGATAAGCATCAAACATCTCCGCAATTTGCTGGATTTAGCAAACTGTGGCATTTGCTTGTAAAAAACACCTGGCGGTAGCAGTGTTTCATCTAATTATCACCATATTTAAATGTTTTCTATGCAAACTGACAATTGCAAATAAACTGCAAACAAAAAAAGGACAATAAAATTCACCCTATATCAGAAACAGCATCCTAATATAAACGTTTTGACATCTTGTTTTCATGCCTAGGAAGAGGGAACGCATCATACATAAAGTATAGACAGAATTTTTAAGGGAGGCTCTTGTGCCCTGGGGGTTCTGCACAGACACTGGAGGCTCTTTATCCCTCTCTCTGATCGAGTCCTCACACGGTGAAAAGCAAACAGCCTGATAGCTGTTCTGTCTGTTACCAAAACAAAGAACAGATGGAAACGGGGCTTCCTGCCTCAAAGAGATTCACTTTTAGACTCTTACACAAAGCAAGAGAAAGAGGAGGCGGAATCTGAACAGTGGGGCTGGTTCAAAGAGAAGTCGCACTTCACAGAGCTGCCACTCACATTCTTTCCAAGCGCTTTTGGGGGTATGTGTTTTTTTTTGGGGGGGGGAGGGAGGTACCTACCCCTATGATGCAGTCCAGCTTGCTGAGAAACCCGAGGTTGTTGCAGTGCGATCCTGAAATGTTTTTGAGCTCAACTGTAGCTTTCGCTCCCAGACTGATGTACAGGTAGTCCTTGAGTTGTAACTGGCCATTTAGCGACTCTTCGAAATTATAACCAATTCTGAAAAAGGTACTTATGGCCTGGATTTGGAACTCTGAAGCTTTCTCCCCCCCCCTCGGGGGTGGTGGTCCTGTGACTGAATTTGGGGCACTTGGTAATTGGGCTTGCATTTTCAGCCATTTACAGAGCCCTATGGTCACATGACTGTGATTGCACTTTTCTTGCCGGAAACCGGCATTTACTGGTTTCTGGGCAAAAAATGCCCATTGCAGACAAAGGGTTTGCTAATTGACCACGGTGTTCACTTTATAAATGCCATGTCCACTTAATGACCACGGCAAAAAGGATTACAAAATTGGGTGCTATCACGTGACGACTCGCTTAACGACCAACATGATTTATGACTTCAACCACAGACAGGCTGATGGCCCCTGATGGTTATCTTGCTGAGGTTAGCCAATCCCCATTGTTCTAAGAAGTGCCAAGACGTCCTTCTTCTCCGGGGCTATCCAGAACAACAGGGAGAGTCCCATTTTCTTTTGCACATTCTGAATTTTGCCCATGTTGAAAGCCATCACTCACCTGTTGAACAGACACCTGGCTACTATTCAGCGTCCTTTGAAAGATCCCATTCGCTCTTGAGCCTTTCCCTACTTTGCTGGTCATTATAGTAAATATTCTTCCTCTGCCACCAGGCACTTTTGGATCCAGTATGTAGTATTTATGAATGAGAGCTATACAAGGCCTCTACACCAGGCAGCTGCTGGTTTAAGGACAACCACCCAAGAGCAGCAAATTGAGAAAAAGCATGGATTGAGCTACTAAATCTTCAAGTATCAGAGAATTAGTTCCATTTTTTAAAAAAAAAAAAATTTCTAAACACAAGGAAGAGATCAAATTGCTTCCTATTATTCAATAACCATAGCGGTGAGGCATCTGCATAATCTAACCGTGCATAAATTAGTATGGTTCATTTGCATAATAATAACAAGTTAATAGATGCTTAAAGAGCACAGACCAACACTGGTTTTAAATCAGAGATGCCTCCCGGCCCTTTGGCCTTTATCAACGGGGAGGTTAGGAAAAGAGACTGCCATTCACCCGGGGAATAGGCTGCTGCTTCCTCTGCCGGTGCAAGAGAATTGTAACTTTGCAGTATTGCAACCGCCTGAAATGATAAATGCATTTATGCCCCCAACGAATACAACAAAAGCTTTCACTAGGGTTAGGCATGGGCAAGGAATAAACATACCACTTCCAGTAATTAAATTTTGAGCTGTATATCGCAGGATTTCTCATACTCTTAAGAACCACAATTGTCATCGGAGGGTTTGTGCAGTCAAAGCCAGGAGCAAAAATGGGCACCCCACCTCTAGGGAGGGGGTCTAGGCCAAGTTGCCACGACTGGCCAAGGGAAAAGAGTTGCATTAATATCAAAGAAACGATGGGATAGAATCTTAAAGAGAGGATGCAAAAGGAGGGGTGGGGGCAAATGAAATGTTGAATGACAAAAATTACAGTAGAATGTTCTTGACATACAACCACAACTGAGCCCAATAGCCTTGTTGTTAAGTAAGATGTTCGTTAAGTGAGTTTTGCCCCATTTTATGACCTTTCTTGCCATGGTTGTTAAGTGAATGGCTACAGTTGGCGAGTTAGTAACTCCGTTGTTATGTGAGTCTGACTTCCACATGGACTTCGCTTGCGAGAAGGTTGCATAACCTGTTTTAGTTGTGATGGATATTATTGTAGAGAATGAAATCCATAAAGATTCAGCTAAATAATAAAATCCAGCCTGGGGCCAGGACTCTCTTGGGCTCCCCCCTGTGAGGAAAAGGCTCTGAACATTCCAAATATGTGGAATGTTTCCATATGGAGTTCACGTGAATTGTTCTTGGTTTTTCATTTAAATGAGATGGGGGTCAAGGAAAAAGTGGTTTGGAAGGATAAGAAAACTGCTCGATATGGAGTGGTAACTATCATTTAGGGTTAATGGAGCTGCAAAACCTGAGCTTGGCCTATCTAGAGTTATTCAACCTTGGCAACTTTATGAAGTGGGGACTTCAACTCCCAGAATTCTCCAGCCAGTTGCTGGCTGGGGAATTCTGGGAGTTGAAGTCCGCACCGCATAAAGTTGCCAAGGTTGAAAAACACTGGCCTATATCATAATTGGCCACAGATGGCAGCTCCCACCTATCGCTCCAGAGGTAGTCCTCAACTTTTGATCATAATGAAGCCTGCTCATTATAGTCATAAGTCGTGACTGCCGTAAAGGGGGCAATCCACCTGACCTACCTGAGTTTACAACCTCTTTTTGCCGCAGCCATTAAGCGAATGGCTGTGGACGTTCAGTGAACCCATTACTCCCTATTGGGTGCTTTTGCCAAAGGCCATAAGTAAATGCTAGTCATTGTCGGCTGCCTTGTGACTCATTATATTATTCCTTATGGGAAACATTTGCTTGGTTCTCATCCTTTTCGGTACTCATTACGCCTCCCGGAATCAATTAACAATGAATACCGAGGTCCCACTGTAGTAGTACAGGTAGTTCTCGACTTACAGCAGTTCATTTAGTGACCATTTGAAATTATAACGGTGTTAATCATGTGATTTATATTCAGATGCTTGACAACCGATTCATATTTATGACAGTTGCAGTGTCCACGGATCATGTGGTCTCCTTTTGCAACCTTATGACAAGCAAAACCAATGGGAAATCTAGATTCACTTAACAACAGTGTTACTAATTTAACAACTGAGGTGATTCCCATAACAACTGTGGCAACAAAGGTTGTAAAATCAAGGCAAAACTCATTTAACAAATTTCTCACTTAGCAACAGAAATTCTGGGCTCAATTGTGGTCATAGGTCAAGGAGGCCTACCTATCTTCCACCATCACTCCCATCCTTTTATAAAACCTGGCATTCCTGCAGAGTCAGTGGTGGCTGAATTGGTGTGCAAAAAAGACTTTCTGCAACATCCAACCACTCCTCTCTGTCAATCCTGCTGGTGATTTGATAGAGGGGTGCCTATAAGCAGAGACAAACTTCTTTTTTCAAGTAATTTTCAAGGCCAATCCAATAACAAGAAATATGCACAACAAGTTCTTCTTTCTGAAAACCAACCCAGACGTGGAAAAGAACGACAGGAAAGGTGTGGAGGCTCTGGGCATAAGCCACAACCACCAGTAACTGTGGCTGGGATTAGTGGTCTCCGTCCTCTTCCAACCACATCTTCCAACCATAACAAACTCATATAAAGAGCTTCATATATAGAAGCATTTGTGATCGCAGTTGCTTTCTTCTTTTTCTAAAAAAAAATGAAATTCTCCTTAATAGCTGTGGACTTCAAGCCCCAGAATCTTCCTGGTCCAGATCTCGCTGCTTTAGCAGAGTAAGGAAGATACTCAGAGATGATTCACACCAGGGGTGGGTTTCAACCGGTTCGCGGCGGTCCCCGCGATCCGGTTGGTCGCCGAACCCGGAAGTAAGTAACTTCCGGGAACGGCGAAGCCCCCCCCCCCCCGCGCCCGCCCGCGCCCGCTATAAGCAGAGACAAACCGGTTGGAACGGGGCGAGAAACCCACCCCTGATTCACACCCTGGTCGGTGTCTCTTTGCACTTCTACCATCGGGAAGTAGACATCGAAGTATAGCCAGCCGAACAAAGAGATTTAAAGATAGTTTCCATCCTTGGGCTGTGAGACTTTTAAATACCACCAAAATCACTCCATGCACATGCTAGTTTTTTTTTTTTTTTCCTTCCCCCCCCCCCCGTTTCTGTTATAATTTTGTACCAGTGAGGTTAAAACCAATTTCATTGTATTTAAGTACAATGACAATAAAGATTATACTTTAGAGCAGCATTTTTCAACCTCGGGAACATTAAGATAGGTGGACTTCAACTCCCAGCATGCCGAAGGTTGAAAAATGCTACTCTAAAGACACCAGATTTTGACACATATCACTTCCAGCCAGCGTGTTGATGGGAATGCAGAAAAGCAAATTTGCTCGGCTTCAAACTCACTATAAGCTCCACTCCGGGAAGCAGTCTAAGAGGGATAAAAAATAAATCCTGGACCTTAAAAGGAGAACAGAATCCAGGGCGGTTTTGGACAACTCTGAAGTGATTGCTTTTTGATTTAATACGGCAGATTTATATGAAGCAGGTGGAAAGACTGACACAATTGCTTGTTGCAACTTCATCCACAGGAATCAATGAGGCAGCAAGGAACGTCTTACCTGAGGATAGGGGAACCTCCCGAGAGCAAGCTGGAAGAGAAAACAATGGTCTCGTTAGAGAGATTTGCATTAGGGGTTGAGCAAAAGGAAGGGGGTTGAGAGGGGCTCACGATTCAGAATTGCTCTGAGGGCAAAAAGAGAGTGAACGAGAGAGATAGAATGAAAAACAAACAAATCTTAACAGATAAAGCGAAATGCCAATATTTGGAAAGGCTGTCCATAAATGAGCAGCAGATCTGTTAAAAACCTCTATTTGTCTGCCTGCCTGCCCAGCCAAATTCTCTGCTCGTAAACAAAATATGGGCCTTTTTCAATTCTGTGGCCTCTCTGTGCATTTCAGTTGCTAAGAGATTCGAGCCATTTGGACGAGAACGGACGGTCGCAATGAGCATGCAGGAAGCGCCAAGGCGCTTGGACAGCCTCCATCCACCATGGAAGCCGAATCCTGCCTTTTGCTCTTGAAAGTCAGCATCCCGGAGATCTTGGGCTCCCTCCAATCTCCACTGGCTCGCAATTCAGCCCCACGGTGACGGATTCAAATCCTCCCTTCGAGCTCAGGCGCTTGCTGGTACTGCTTTTCGTTACGACGTTGATTTTGAGACAGAGGGACTCAAAGGTTCACCGGCCCAAGAAGGGCACCTCCTCATTGCCTTGCGCCCCACGGACCCAGGAAAATGGCACATTCAATGGCGGTCCTTGAGTTGCCATCGTAATTGGGACCAGAATTTCCATGCCTAAGGAAAGTGAGTTGCATCCAATTTTACGACTTTTTCTTTGCTCTCTTGTTATTGAGTGAGTCCGTGCACTTGCTTTTAGTGCAGGGGTATCAAAAATTGGGAACTTTAAGACTTGTGGACATCAACTCCCAGAATTCCCCAGCCGGGAATTGAAATCCACAAGTCTTAAAGTTCCCAAGTTTGGACATCCCTGGCTTAGTGAATTATGCGGTCATTAAGCAAATCTGGCTTCTTCCCACATTAACCTTGCTGGGCAGAAGCCAACTAAAAAGGCGGCAAGTGACGATCACATGACCCGGGGGGGGGCTGCAACTTGACTGACAAGCATCATGTGATCCTGGGGATGCCATGACATAAATCACTGTCTTCTGTGACATTTTGACATCGATCGCTAAAGAAATGCTTCTCAGCCGAGGGCTACTTGTCTACATTCCTTGGCTTACAACAGTCCATTTAGTGACCGTTTGAAGTTACAACAGCACTGAAAAAAAAGGGATTTATGACCGTTTTTCAGCCTCCTGTGGTCACATGATCAAAATCCTTGGCAGCTGGTTCATATTTATGACGGTTGCAGAGTCCCAGGGTCGTGGGATCCCGTTTTACGACCTTCTGACAAGCAAAATCAACGGGAAGCCAGGTTCACTAAAGAACTATGTGGCTAATATAACAATTACGGGGTTAACAACTGTGGCAAGAAAGGTTGTAAAATGAGGCAAAGCTCACTTAACGAATATTTCGCCTAGCGACATAAAATTTGGGCTGAATTGTGATTGAAAGTTGAGGAGTCTCAGCAGTGGTGGGCTCCTCATCCCGGTGCAGCCGATACGGTGCAACAGGTCCCAGTGTCCACCACATGAACACGCGTAGCACACGTGCACACATGTGTCCTTACTTCCTGCGATGCTCTGCAACGCCTCCATGATGCTTCAGCTGCTTGGCGGAGCATTGCGCAGGCGCCGTACGCTCCGTGCGCGTGCACAGATACACCAAAGACCTCGAATACAGATAAGGAGGGTGGGCGGGCATTCCAGAGGACCGTACCGGAACGGTACCCAGTGCTCCCAGCAGGCACTGGTACGCCCGTACCAGGGCATTCCGCCTGCAACCCACCACTGGGTCTCGGGTGCAAAGTATGTTGTGAACACAGCAGGGGTCTGGGCTGCTTGCTCTTCTTCTGCATAAAAGCCGCAACGGCAGATCAACATTTCGGATGAAAATGGCCTTTTCAAATAATACTCAAATGAATGCAGATGAAAATTTACGCAAATCACCCCACTTTATGCAAATATATTCTGAGTGCAGAATTGGGTTTTCTCGATATAGAAATGATTGCCGTGGACTTCTGATGACAATGTATTTTCAAAGTCCAGGGCTCTGGCTTGAACAAGGCAACCCTAAAGATGCCAGCCAGGGCGAGAACCTTTGTCTGACTGGGCTGTGCCAAGGGCTCCCCCCCCCCACTGCCCCAGTCCAAGATTGTCAAGGTAATCTGTAATCTCCCCGAAATAGCCTGCAGATATGTCACTGTACTAAATGTGTTTCAGATTTAATGAAGCTTTAATGTCCTTTTTAATTTTGCCTGTTTCTGTATCACCAGGGGTCGAGCAAGGCAATCAACACTCAAGAGGATGGTTTGGTTTAAAACTAGGAAAAACTCATTTGCTTATGAGTTGCACTGTATTTTCTTAATTAAATTTACTGAGTAAAATGGTTTTAAGTTCAGCCAACCAATGACCTCTGTATGTAGATTTAGATTTATAAATAGGCTAACAGCTAAAGCATGGAAGCCAAAAGATGGGGTGGGGAGGGGGGGGTTGGGGAGCTCTTACATAAAACAAATTAGGGTTTTGCATTGTTCCTGCATAACACGAGCAGTGTGGACCTCCACTGATTTATAATCCTCAAAAGGGAGTTGAAAACAGGAAAGCGCAGAAGAGAAGGCCATCGGGAAAGTACTTCGTAAGTTTTCCGCTTTGCCTCTGGAATCCTCCTGGCTGAGCACATCTGTTCCCCAACCCAGAAATATCTTTATTTTAAATCCTACTCATATTAATTTGTCGCCCTCTGCTCCAGAACCTTCTTTTAAAACAGAGTTGCCTGCCACAGGCTGGGGTTGCAGGAAGAGGCTGCTCTCTTGACAATTTGCAAGACAATGCAGAAAACAGGCAGTGGCTGGACAATAGCTTCATTTGACCAAATGACACGCATCTTCTCACCCTCACTTATGAAAGTCCTCAGGGAACTACCCAAGTAGACGATGCTGGTGAAGTCTAGAAAGTGTGACCTCTGCTAGCAAGACAGGACCAAGGACACCAGGCCGAACCACAGGCAATAGGAAGAAATTGGTAATTCTAGCTCCAAGCCAAAACAAGGTAAGATCTGAGACAAAGGAGCCACTGAAGACATTTCTGAGTCTCTGTGAGGTGTCAAGGTATGTACCGTATTTTTCGGAGTATAAGATGAACCTTTCCCCGCCCCCTCCCAAAAAAGAAGGTGAAAATCTGGGTGCATCTTATACATTGAGTACAGCATTTTTGGCCTCCGGAAACTCTGTCCCCTTCACAAAAATAGATGTGCATAGGCTTTGGAGGGCCTGCAAAGTGTTCCTGGGGGCTAGGGAGGGAAAAATCAAGCAAAAGAAAAAGGCTGTTTTTTGCTTGTTTTTGCCCTCCCCAGCCCCCAGGAGCACTCTACAATCCTCCCAAAGCATTTGCATGCCTTGTTTTTTTATGAAAAACGGGGCCATTTTTTGCTGGTTTTTGCCTTCGCCCCAGCCCCCAGGAGCACTTTGCAGGCCTCTCAAACTCTCTGCATGCCCCATTTTTCACAAAAAAATGTAGCATGCAGAGGGTTTGGAAGGCCTGCAGAGTGCAAAAACCTTTTTAAAAAAATTTACCTCTTCAAAATCTTGGTGCGTCTTTTACTCCGGTGCGTCTTATACTCCGAAAAATACGCTAAGTGTGTGTTTGACAACGAGGATACTGAACTGATAGATAGTATCTGCTTTTTAGGACTAACTAACAGAATAAAGGAAGCAGCAGTCAAGAAATAAGCCACAGACTAGTACTGCTACTGAGTCCTTGGGAAAGATATTCAAATGCCATTCAATGCTACAAAGTTCAGTTACATCTGAACTTTGTAGTTTGGATGTAACTACAAAGACCAGGATTGTGCAAGCAATGGCATTCCCTGTGTCACTCCATGGAAGCGAGAGTTGAAATTTGTAGAAGTAAGATAGGAAAAGTACTGTATTGTTGGAACTTTGGTGTTGAAAAAGACTCCTGAAAATACTGTGGAAAGCCAAGTAAACAAACCAATGAACAAACCAATCCGGAGTCCTCAGTTCTAGGTTGGATCTCTCTTTAATGATCTTCTACCCGTTACTTCATGTCCTGCCCTCAGGTGCTTTGGAGAATAAATCATATTATTATAGAACCTCAAGTACTGGAGGGCTACTAACATGTCACCCCTGGTCCCTTCTCTTCATTAGATGAGACATATCGTATGGTTTAGCCCCCAGGCCTCTCATCGTCTTCGTTGCTCTTCTCCATACTCTTTCTAGGGTCCTTAACATCTCAAGAAGCGACTGGACAGCCATTTGTCCACAACGACACAGGATCTCCTACTTAAGCAAGGGGTTGGACAAGAGGACTCCAAGGTTCCTTCCAACCCTATTGTTTTATGTTCTCAGACAAGGCTAAATGACCAGGCTCAAATGATCCTACATCAGAAACCTTGGGCAACGGATCTAGTTGCCTAGAGATGCTCCATTGAAATCAAACTGCACGCAGAATCCCTTTCAAGTGCTCTACAAGTTGTCCTTGCTTAGCAACTGCCTCATATAGCAACCTACTGCTTGGGACTTTTTCTTTCCCATCAGGTGGTGAGGCTCTTTCGTGCCCTACCCATATTTTCCACCACTATATTTAGGAACAACTTTGCTGCTCTCACCATCAGTGGCTCATGCAGGAAAAAAGGAGCAAAGAAGTCACTAGCCCCTGGCTAGCTGAAGTACATCTGGCTGGCTTAGGCCAAAGAAGGGGATTTAGCTGCCTGCCTCTGTGCTTTTTGCGGTTCCTTCAAATCTTGTGTTGACTGATGGCTGCATGGACTAATTCCTCCGTTTTGGGGCAATATTTCAGAAATAGCCTCCTTCCTAGGGCTGAGAGTGAGGCCACCAAGCTGCCTTTGTGCCTGAAACAAAACTAGAACTCCTGGTGTCCTGGTTTCTAGCCTGCCACCTTAATGTAAATGTTGCATGTAGTTGGATAGGGGAGAGTGTGTGTTTGAAGC